GAATTTATATATATATATATATATACACACACACACACACACACACACACACACATATATATATATATATATATATATATATGGTAGTCCTTGATTTATAATGTATTTTAGTTACAATGAACCATACTTATGACTGTCTGTTTTTAGGGGGGTATATCTTATTAGTAATATGTACTATATATATATTTTCATATATTTGTCATGAATAATTTGCTGATGTTATCATTCTCAGATGTCTACATGATGATGTTCAAAGATACTGATAATAAAAAGCAATCATGATGAAAACAAAAACAACAAGAAAAGGACATATTTTACTTACATCAGAACTGACTTATGGAGTCATCAGGGCAGAACCCTGTCATAAGTTGGGGATGACATGTACAAGCATTTTAAAGCTATAAATTTTCCTCTATGCACTGGTCTAGCTGTGTTCTATGCATTTGAAATGTGTTCTCATATTCAATTTAAAAATGTTTCTTAAATTTTTTCTTGATTGATTTATTTTGTCTCTTAATACTTCTATTTCTTCATCTCCAAAACGAAAAGGTTGTTTTTAATGACTTATAAGATCTCTTATTGGTTGGTAGAGTATATCAAACTATAATTATTTACTGGCCATAGTAGGTTGTTGGACCTTACAATTTGACAGATTTTAATTTTTCACCTATTTTTTAGCACTTTTTATTAAAAATAATATTGGCATTTGGAAAATAAAGCTCAGTAACTTTCTCTAGGAATATACAATCCAATTTCAAATCTACTGACAGTGGGAAACAGAAACTAGAGTCACCCAAATGTAGCAGGATACTTAGTGTTTATCTGTTTAAGACAGATATAAAATCAATGATAGAACATTAAAACTCAGACCACTGCTGATAAGCCAAATAACCTGAAAATACAAAAATTAAAGATTTTCTCAAATGGGACAGTGTATAGGATAAAAAATGTGTACTGGTGGCAGAGACCATTAGCCATTCCCAGGCTTGCTTTCTCCCATTTGATTTTTCATTTGGTCATGTGACCACCCAGCTATAAACCTATGTTTCTCAACTTCCCTTTCAGCTATGCACATAGGACTAAACTCTGAACAATAGGATGTTGCAGAGTTCTCTATATCCTCCCCTTCCTTTTCTTCACGATGAAAGCTTTTTGCCATCTTTGCTCTAGCACTTACTTCTTACCAATCCATCACAATGCTAATCTGCTTATTTCTTTCTTCCCTAATGGTGGCATTTGAGATCCAAGATTTGGCTCTCTTTGAAACACATATCTTACTTCACTCTTTTGTTGTTGCTATTAGCTGTCCTTGGGTCACACCAAGGGAACAAAACTCCATGCACAATGGAACATCCTCAGAATTGGTTGCAAATTGGACCACTGTGATCCACAGGGTTTACATTTGCTGATTTCCAGAAGTAGACTGCCAAGCTTCTTCCTAGCATGTCTTAGTCCGGAAGCTCCGTGGAAACCTGCTCAGTTTCGTAACAACATGCCAACCTCTACCGACAGATGGGCGGTGGCTGCACTTGAGCTGCAGTGGCTGGGAATCAAACCCACGTCTCCACCATAGAAAATGAGAATTCTGCTCCTGAACCACCACTGTCCTCTAGGGTTATTTAATATCTTGTCTGAATGATCAATAAATTCAGCTTTAATCCCCAAGAATACATTGCAGTCAGTTTATAATCTCTGTAATTGGAAGTCTAGTAAATCACAGCCTGAGTTTCCACACAGGAAATGTGCATGAAGACAGGCAGAGTCACAAGTTCCAGAAACGTTTGTGTACTGTGTGAGATACCTGTCGGAAAAACTCCTCCATCAAGGCCATGGTCCACCGGTGGTGCAGTTTCCAGCACTTGGCTGGGTGGCTGATGTCTGCTGCATGGAGAATCAGAGACATGGTCTTGGCTCTGTCAGTCCTGTCAAGCAAAGGTGGGGCTCAAATTATCAGAGCAAAGCAATCAACTTCAGTCTTTTCCCAGCCCATGGACTCTTAACATGACAGAGGAAAATAACCTACCCTTCAGGTTGCTGCAAACTATTTCTTATCGTTTTAATTTGTTGGAAGTGACCTGACATGTCTGTAGATAAAACCATTTCAATCACAAGGTTCCGAAGATCCCTGAGAAGTCATCAAAAGGAGAGGTTATTATTTCGAAGTGGAGCATTTCTTTAAATGCCATTAATTACATTTTATTCTTCCTAGTATATAGGAAGTAAAAGATGCTACCTTTTAAATGAACAAGTAGTCATAAAAGTTTAATATTATTTTTCCCTGTAATTTATGGATTTAGGAAGTTACCAAGAGAGTTATCTGGGAATGATGCCTTTTGACATCTCTCCTAAATAATTAGATGTTTTCCCTTCTCACTCTTCTTCCCTGCTTAATTCCTAAATGTTATTTTTCTATCTGAAAGGATCCTAGGCCATTTTAAAGGAAAACTACCTTAAATACAGTATTTAAATGCCTTGAAGATAGAAGGATAAACCTGTGAGATTTGAGACCATTCTATATTCACAAGGTCAACAAAACTGAAAAGCTTAGTGTCTGAAAAAAAAAAGATAGGGACAAGAGGGGCATGGACTCTCAAGACTTCTCCTTCTCCTTCCTCATTTTGCACCTTTTCAATACAACTACACCCTCTTTTCACTTATCAACTGTCTTGTTATGCAACATTTTGCATTAATGACAATAGTAAACCATCTATTATCTAACCATTTTTCACATTAATAACCTATGTGTGACAATAACAATAGCCAAGTTCTGAGGCAAGAGTAATGCTAGCTATGATGATTAAAATTATGTGTCAACTTGGCTGGGCCTTGATCTCCGTAGTTTGGCAGTTACATAATTTGGCAGTTGTGTTATGATGTAATCACCCTCCACATTGTGGTCTGATATGGTTATCTGCCATTTTTGCATAGCACCAATTTTCGTATAAAGCACTGGTCAGGAGGACCTAATCATTCTGATAAGAGAGGAGAGGGTGTGTTAAATGTAAGGAACTCTAGGAGCTCTGGTAGCATAGTGCCTAAGGCACTTGACTGCTCACCAGAAGGCTGACGGTTCAAACCCACCAGCCACTCCTCGGAAGGAAGGTTGGGCAATCCTACTTCCGTAGTGATACTGCCTCGGAAACCTAAGGAGGGGTCGCTATGAGTCGGGGCCAACTCAACAGCAAACAACAACAACAACAACTGGTGGCATAATGGAAAGCACTTGACTGTTAATGGCAAAGTTGGTGGTTCAAAACCACCCAGCAGCTCTGCAACAAAATGACCTGGCAATCTTCTTAAAGATTATAGCCAAGAAAGCCCTCAGGGGTACAACTTGTCACATGGGGTCACTCAAAGTCAAAAATGAACTCAATGACACCTAATAACTACAACTACTATTAATAAAACCACCACTACTCAGCCCAGGCAATGTTCAAGGTCCTTTATATATATTAAGACATTTAATTCTGATAGCAATCCCATGAGGAGGTATTATTTCACACATGAGGAGACTGAATAGCTCACCCAGAGTCACACAGATAGCATGTGGCAGAGATGAGATTCAACCCCCAAAGTTCCCACTCCCAAAGTTGACACCTGGATCACTCCACTGTGCCAACTTTCTGTTATAAGAAGCCCCCACCCTGCCCTGAAGAAGAAAGAAAGAAAGAAAGAAAAAATCCCAAAGTGATTGGGGATTGTCTATTTAAGCATGAGGGATCCTGAAGCAATTTATCTTAGATAGTCATTAATAATGAAAATTTTAGCCAACAAGCTGCAAATATGGTGAACAAATCACAATACCTATGAATAATGAATAATAGTAATAATAATTATTATTATAAACCTGTAATCATGAATAATTCATTCTCACACTAAGGAGAAAACAAGTCATCCCAGCAAAGCTTTGCATGCTCCACCACTTGTTTGCTCTGTACAGATAGGTTCATAAACACAGTCACTTATACTATAAACCGTAGTTTGCTTTCATTCTGTGGCATGAATTAAAGAGAGCTAGTGTGTCCAATAGATAAGTTAAATTAAAGGTGTATGTAAACTGGAATTTTGATCTTGTCTCAAAAGTATTTTACCTAACGATGGTATGAGCACATTAATTGTTTAGAAAACAACTAATATTGGAGATTCTTGTTGGAAATTACAGGGTTCTCAATTGATCTGGATTCTTAGATAGGACCAATGAGAAACCAATACTCTGCTTTAATGTTCATGATGTTGGATATCTTGTTTAGAATACTTTTATCCAGGTATGAAAGGGAAGGAAACTATTAAGATCAGTCAATGAAATGATTTTCTATTATATTTTTTTCTCTGAAGTGATTCATATTTTAGTAGCAACTGAACCAAAATATTCATGTTAACAATTTTGCTGTGTACCTAATTCTTGGTTGGAAATTTTTCTCTGTCAGGGTTTTGTATATACCATCTCATTGTTTTCTCACTTGCATGGTTTCTGCTGAGAAATCTGAGCTTAGTATTATTGGTTGCCCCTTGTAGGTAACTCTTCATTTTTCCCATGCTACTTTCAGGATTGTTTCTTTGTCTTCAGTTTTGCTGAGTTTGATGATGATATGTCTTAGTGAATTCTTTTGGGGTCTATCCTGTTTGGGGTTCTTTGGACTTCTTGAATGGATATATTCTCATCTTTCATCATACCAGCAAAATTCTCTTCCAACAAATCTATGTCAATCTTTTCTGTGGTTTTATTTGTCTCTTCCTGTTCTGGAATTCCAATTACACATAGGTCATTCCTTCTAATGGTATCCCACATGAACCTTAGGCTTTCTTCATTTTGTTTTGATCTTTTTTTCTGATTGATCCCTTTCCAAAGAAGTATTGAGGTATTTGCCTTCAATCTCACTAATTCTGTCTTCTATTGATTCAATTCTATCCCTTTGCCCATTCAATGTGTTATTTATATCTGAAAATTTAGTATTAATCTTCTGAATTTCTGTCTGTAAATTTTGTGTCATTTCTAATTTTTCATTATTTTGTCATTTTGGTCTTGTATTGTCTTTCAAAATTGTTCCTGAGTTTTCTCTGTGTTTTCCTCAATTTTATCAGTGTTTTTCTTGATCTGTCTCTCAATTCATTGAAGGTACCTAAATATAATTCTTTTGAATTTCTTTATCAGGGAGTTCCAATGCTGCATCTTCCTCAAGGATGTGTTTTGGGTCTGTTTCTGGTCCCTTAGTTCTCCTGCTTTATCTTGCTTCTTTGTGTGAACTGTGATGCTCTGTTGTCTCCAAAGCATAGTGACATTTTTGTGTTTAAATTTAATTGGTGATTGTATGTTGGAGTCACTTCCCCACAATTTTCATTTTCTTTTTTAGTCTGTAGGTTATCTACATAAGCAGGGTATCGTGCTGTGCTCCTGTATTCACCAGTTGGCAGCACTTACACACTCACCACCTGTCTCCTTCCCCGTTGTCTGCCTGCTGTATGTCCCTGCCATCCTTGGCAAATGGAGCCTATTCTTAGGTCCCTGAGGATGTTATCACTTTAAAATCCAAAATGGCCACTGCTGGTAAACATTCAAAATAGCTACACCCTCAGTCACTTTAAATATCTAAAATGGTTGCTGCTTGTAAACATTCAAAATGGCTGTGCCCTCAGTCACTTTAAATATCCAAAATGGCCACCACTTGTAAACAATCAAAATGGCTGCATCCTCTAGACAGCTGAATATGCATAGCTCAGGTTGTCTCCCTCCTTGCTCTTTCCCTTCCTAGTCATAGGCCACCAGTGCAGTCATCCCTGCAGCTCTTGGCGATCAGGGCTGATCTTTAGGGCAATTCTCAGGTCCCAATACCATTTGGAAATATTCTTGCTGTTGGTCCTGTCAGAGTCACTGACAGTCCACTGCTCCAACTATCTCTGTACTCGCTGTTTTTGTTCAGGTTTTTCCACTAGTTGGTGCCTAATCCACTTCTCTATACTTCCTTTCAAAGCTCAGAGTTCCACGATTATCTTCTTTATCTCTGTCAATTGTTTTCTCATTTCTTTGTTGAAGAGGGTCTGTGTAGCTTGTCTGCCTATTTTGCCATCTTACTGGTCATTAACTGATTTTAAGAAGATATTAACAGGCTTATAGGCACTAAACCTGGAGTGTCTGGCAAGAGGAAATCCCCATATGGCCCACCCTTACAGTTTGCAAATTTTCTGAGAGAATGTTTAAGTATTGGGACATATATGTTCTTACAGAAACACACAAAACTTCTATCAGATGACTGAATTGAATTCTGGCTAGGATAATACACATTTTTGAGAACATCCAGCTTGCAAAGACAGGGGAGAAAGAAGACAAAGGTATCAGGAAAGGACAGAAAAATTGCCCTAAGTGTCTATGGGGTCTTCTCCCTTTCTGCAGAGCTTTACTGTCTTTTGCCTTGCAGCAGTTTGCATGTTCAACACTGACATATTGTGTTGGAACCTTCCCATCAATGATACATACATGTAATAGCTATTTGTCCTGCATGCTTTAACTGAGGTATCTGAATAAAAAGTGTATTGAGCTGTGATTTGGTTTATATGTGACTGAAGTATCAACCTGCTTTTCCTTAAGTTGATAACCAATAGTAGGGTTTTGCAATGACATTGTATTGGTTATTTATGCAGCCTAAATAGAGCAAATATGGAGGTGACACACCTCTCTGAGTACACACCCAAAGTCCCTGAGCTGAAAAGCTGACATGCACATTTTCAGAATGTACTTGGTTCTTCACGCTTGTTCAACCATTGTCCCTAGTTGATACTGACAGAAGTATGAAAGACTATCTTAAGAATATCTTGGAATAATCACCTACTCCACATCTAGGTCTTTCTACTCCTTGAAATGAAGCAGTCCAGTGAACCTACATGATTGGGGATTCCTGGCAAGTTTCTCTAAACTTGGGGTAGCCAGACAGAGATTAAAGAGATTTGTATAAATATGAAACAATGACACTCTTCTCACAAGTTGCATTCTGTTTTGGAATATATGCAAATGGTAGGTGTTTGTGACCCACAAAAGGGATTGAATAACTTTCTAATAATGTAAATAAAGTACATGGGACCCCTCTGGGAGTTGCGCTATCAAAATAAGATATATAGAACCATAACGTGAAGATTGATCAGTTTTGCTATATCCACTAGGATTAAAATAAGCCATCCTAGAGGCAGAAAGGGGAATCTCACTGTCATCAAGAAAGAAGAGCCAGGAGTAAATCACATCTCAAGATCCCTGCACTGAACCTCTTGACACAGGAGACACAGAGCTATGACACCAGAGACAGTGAGAGATGGCAAAAAGCAGTAAGCAGTAGCAGCAGAGAAATGACAGCGGAGGCAGAAGATCCAAGACTAGCACAACACAGAGTGATGGGCTTCCCAGCCCATGGAGCAAGAAAGCTGAGGGCCTTCGGCAGGAAGTTTGCTGGTAGAGTGGGGCCCCTCTCTGGCCAACTATCAACAGTTCTAAAAGAGCATTGTAACACTTGCCTGAGCAAGGCAGAAGCCAGGCCAAGGAGCCAAGGGTCAGAGAGAGACCTGCATTTGGGTATGTATGGCTGAGGGAAGGGTGTCCTGATCAGAGAACTGTACCTTGGGTTGTTCTTGATCCTGAATTGTAATCTGTACACTTCCCTAATAATCCTCATTATTATGTGTACTGTGTGTGACTTCTTGTGGCCATTGGAATGAATTACTGAACCCAGCAGAGAAGAAGAGAGTGTCATGGGAGGGATGGTTGTTGTCAGAATTGGTAAAAAGGTTGGAGGGTTGCAGTATGTCTGACCTCTGCCTCATAGAAATCAGCCTTCAGCTATTAATCTTGATCTTCTTCCCCATTTGTGAAGTTAGGGAAGGTCAGATGATAATGCTCTCATGGCCCTTTTACAATATATCACTACCCTTTTTCCCTTCTCTCCTTTGTCTCTTGTCATCAGCATCTCCCAGCAAGAACTCAAAGTGAGAAAGGATAGTATGTGGAATTAAAAGATAAAAATAAAAGCACCCAATTAAATTTAAGTTTCACATAAACAGTGGAATCTTTCTTTCCTTTTTAGTATAGGTATATTAGGTCACAGGTAATATTTAGGAATTTTTAAGAAAAATAATTACTTTATGCTTATCTGACATTCAAATTTAGCTGGACAGCTTTTCTTTTTATTTGCTGTATCAAATAATCATACCGTAAAGTGAAAGGGGAAGATGACCAAAGGATCAAGAAGAGAAGAAGAAAGGTTATGGAGAATTGTAGGGTTCCATTTTATTTTTCACTACATAGCAACAAGAATCACCACTCAATATTGTTCATTTTAAGCAAAGAGATGCTTCAGGAACACATGTAATATTTCTCATTTATACTTGGGTCATGTTAGTATATTATAATGGTAATTTTTAACTTAAACTTTAAAATATCTTCATTTAAAAGAAAAATGACACTCATACAGAGACAACTAAAATATAAATGAGTCAGTAAGTTACTAAAATTTTGAATTTATATGGGATTAAATAATTGGTACAAATTGAACAGAGTCTTATTCCAGAAAATTAAAAATTATGTATCTTAAAGTATCCACTGCATGGTATGTGGAGTTACAGATCAGCTGTGAAGCATGTAGAAGCTGAATTAACCTGGAAATAGTTCAGTTCTCTCTCACAGAGCCTAGCTCTGGAACAAAACCTTCTAGATTCTCATCCTTCTCAAGTCATCCATCTAACTGTGATGGGATTTCTAGTATCAATAAGGAATTGAGTTTCATCTGTGTTCTTCATGTTAAATTACATATTTCATCATTTTACTAAAATTAAATTTCTTCTAGGATTCCTCTGAAACTCACCTCCAGTCATCTTTGGATAAATTTGCCAAGATATTCATTTCCTCCTCATGCATAAGTCGATAGGCTGCACTTACATGGTGATTCTCAAGCACCGAGCGATCATTATACAAAATAGCAACATCTGACCTAGGAATTAAAAACATAGTGCCCAGTATAGGAATTCTTTATATTTAATTGATGTTTAATAAAAGAACTTGTTTCAAGATATTCCACCATTTAAAAATCTTATAAGTGAATACACCAAAAATTATGGAAGTAATTAGTTTCCTTTTAATTATTGTAGTATAAGTTTATTTATGGGAGCTCTGGTAGCATAGCAGCTAAGACTCTTGCATGCTAACCAGACGGCTGGCGGTTCAAACCCACCAGCCACTCCTCGGAAGGAAGGTTGGGCAATCCTACTTCCGTAGTGATACTGCCTCGGAAACCCAAGGAGGGGTCACTATGAGTCGGGTTTGACTTGACGGCACATAACAACAACAACAACAACAAGTTTATTTATGCCTTGTCCTTTCCATTTGTAATTCTAGATACTTGGCAAATACCCTACATATGGCAAAGAGAAAAATTTACCCATTATTCTCATTCAGTTAATGGATGAACAAGCCTCTTTTTGTCCATTCCAGATAGTTGATTACCATCCCTATTCCCTTAGACTAAACTTACTTTGGGGCAGGAGGTAAAGGGGTAGATTAAAGTCATTTGGCATATTTATGGGTTCTGTTTGTTTTTCCTCCCCTGTAATGTTATGATTAATTTTAAACATTACAGGATTTTTTGCTTTAAATTAAACCAGTGAAAAACATTTAAAAAATAACCTTAAAATGTATGTTTCACCACCAATTTATAACAGACATTTTATTTTAAAATGATAAATTCATAAAAGGATGGTTTTGATTTCCCTGTCTGTTCCTTCATAGCACTTGATCACTGTTGACGTGTTGAAGTTGGTATTCTGGCATAAGGTTTGAAATACTGCAAGCATTTTCACGTCTATAATGGAGCCCTTGCTTTTTCTTCTCCTACCCTCTGAGTTGTCAGATTATTTTGCAAGTGTGCAGTGGAAGCAGTGTTAGTATGTTCCAAGACTTAACATAGCGAATTCACCATACATGTTGTGGGTTGGAGGGAAGACAGCAAAAATAGGAAAGGGCAAGTCAAGTTGAAATCTATAGCAATTTTGCTACAACTTCTCCTGACACCCAGGCTCCTTCCATTTTCTTTCCTTTTAGTAGATACATAAATTTCAATTTCTTTTTCCCTGCCCTGACTTTCAGTTTCAGGCTTTTCGGTGGGTTGCTGTTGTTATTAGTTGCTAGTGCAGTTGATTGCTACTCGGGGAGACCCTATTTGTGCAAAGCTGTGACCTTTCAAAAGCAGATCACCAGGACTGCCTTTCAATGTCCTTTAGGTGGGTTTGAACTGCCTATCTTTCAGTTAGTAGCCAAGAGCCTAGTCCTAGTTATAACCTAGCACTGGGGCTGCCCCTGGAGATTAATGAAAGAGCAGAGGAGGACTAATAGAAACTACAAAAGTCAGGCCTCTGCTGTAAGCAACCTGTTTCATGTATGTATCTAAAAGTCTTCCACACAAACAAAGCTTAATTACTGATTCAACATAGGCAGATGATCTAGCAGGCACTAGAATAATGACTTCTTCCTTTCTTTCTAGCACTTCCATAAAGGTAGAATGACATGTGCATTTAGCTAATGGCATATATCACCAAAGCAGATTTCCTTTAAATGATCCCAACGAAAGCCTAAAAATATCCCTTAATCAACAACCATCGCCCAATACACAGAAAATCCAACAAGGTAAGCATTCATGCAATGCTTATTTAAGAGAGAATTAAATAGATCTTGCCCAAGTGAAATATAATGTTTATGTTTTTTCTCAAAAGTTTGCTGAGATCATGGGAAAAATTGTGATTTATCCATCATGTACCATTTATATCATATGGTCCCATGGTCGTTTTGCCAGGGTTGTTACATGATATGATCCCAAATATCACTGACTTTTCCTTTTAGAAATAAGCAAAGTTGTACTTTGGGGCCAAATTTAATTGTAGCAAAATGGGCATGGCTATGCTCCTATCCAACAGGATGCTGAGAATATAGCAAGGTCTTAGTGTTTGCTGAGATGGTCTTTGCTAAGAAAAGAGCAAGACTCTAAGCAACATTCAGTATCCATGGTTACATGCAGCTTGGCATTTTCTTTTCACAAAGAAATTATATTCATTTATTTACACTTTCAAGGATTTCATGAATTATAATATCTGTGTTGACCTGAAATATAGTCTTGCACTGTTTTGAATTACTTCTTAATAATTTTGCATTGCATATTACATGGGATTCCATATTGGAAATGTATTCTAAATGCAAATATGAATGAAAAATATAAAAATACAAAAGAATTATTGACATCAATGACATAAGACTTTTCTCTTTTGACAAAATATGAAGGCAATAGTGAGAACTTAAAAAATTTATATGTTGCATTTGTGCTGATTACAAATTTGTGTTCATATGGTTTCAAAGTTCATATAGAATTAATCTATTGAACAATCAACTGTGGTAGGCAATTTATAAAAAATAAATAAAATGTAAAACTTTTCTTTTGATAGTTTCTTAATATAAAATTATAAGAGATTGCTCCTTCCCCTCTCCCTTTCCTGTCTTCTCCTCTTCTTCTTTTCTGAAGCTGCAGAGTTATAAGCCAATTAGGACTCTTCACATTCAGTCACAGTTGAATAGTTACAAGAGAATGCTAAAAGATCATCTAACAGTGCTGCTAGAGCCAGTCTATGGCTCTCACTGATTAAAAGAGAAAGGGAAGAAGCATTCTCTGATAACAAATTACATGCTTCCTTTTCCAACCCCTACAATTCTTGTCCTATTTCAGTGCCCAGTTCAAACAATGATCTGCATCATCTTCCTTTTCTGTTGAACACAAAAGCAAACAACTCCCCATACTCTCAAAACATGTGGATTAATAACATCCCTACCTCATAATTCCCCCCATAGTTTCTAATTACATTTATAAAATCTGTTTTACGCTCCTCATATAAAAATAATTTCTTCTGGTTTGGAAATGAGAAGTCCTCTACCTCCAAATGACAAATGAACAAACACACAAGAAATAAATAGGTTTACTTTCCCCTAAAGAAGATTAAAGGTTCTACAGTGATTCCAGAGAGACAGCAGTCCGTAACTGGCATCTCCATTTCAGGTATCCCTGACAAATGAACAATTTCCAGGAATTTCAGAATCCCACATACACAAATTGAGCCGGATCCTGATGGTCCTAAACTAAATTCTGCCTCTCAGGCACTGAGATCTCAGACCATCTGAGAGGACCTCAGAGGACATTTCATTCTTATATTTTCATTCTAATAAGTGTCATTATCCCACCATCATTAAAGAATCTGATTTTTAAAATTGTTCTTATTTTAATACTTTGTGCTAACCTGGAAGTGAGTTTTTTGATTTATGGATTTTATTTACAGAAGTGCAATGTTATTATTTTCAAATTTGCAATCATACTAAAACCAATATCATAAACAATTAGTTGCAAGATAAGTGAATAGTTGCCTTGGTTGAGTCTTAGTAAATAATGGGAACTCTGGGCAGAGATAAATCGTTTTTTCAAATGTTCTTTAATTGCTAAATATGTTAAATATGCAAAATACACACAAGATTCTTCAGAAATAATAGTTGACTGATCTAAGTATTTATAGCTTAAGGAATAAATCTATTCTTTTGGGAAATCTTTATTATTTCTAATCCTTTTTAAATAAAGTAATACAGAGAAGAACTTTCAGATCTCAGCTTAGAAAAGTTGTTAATGTGTTATGTAACTTACCTTGTCTGAATATGAAAGTTGTTTGTGGTCCCTGTATGCTCATAATCATGAATGGCAGCAGCAAAGACCATTGCTAAAATTTCCAGTTCAGTGAGCCAATGCTAGCAAATAAAAGAAAGATTCCATCATACTTAGAAAGTACAGGCCATGTTGTCTTTCTACAGACATGCATGCAGTGTATATAATCATATAAAATGTTTTATTTTTCTTAGATAACTTTTTTCTTCCTATTTCACATCCATTATGCATTATGATGAGGTCAGTTGTTTTGTGGCTTCAAGTTCAAAATTCATATGTTGTCATTTGTATCGCAAATTTTAAAATGATTATTGTCTTATTATTTCAAGGTGGACCTTGACTGAATTTTGAACTCATAGCCTTCCAAACTTTGCTTTTCATCAAATCAGTTACATCACTGGGATTTCAATATATAGCTCATACATCATTAAAATGTCTTTTAATACACCTTTTATAGATCATCCAACTACAAGAAAGATTTCTATGAGAAAGCTGAAAACATTCATTTTGCTCATATGATAAATTCAACTTATTTGGCTTTATATTTAAAGATTTAGAAGCACCTATAGGATTTTAACAAAGTTGCTATTAATGATGTGTATTCTATGATTGTGCAATTAAATTTAGTAATGGTAACAGAAAAAATAAATGCCTTTCCCATAAAATTCAGGACTATATGCCCTATATACATTGACCTTTCTCTTATGAGCTGAATGGCTTGAGAAAATTTCTCTACTATTCTAAGTCCACTTAGAACTAATAGAATTTTAAATCAGTTTACTCATTACTCCATTACTCACATTCTTCATATTTTTTTTTTTCTGCACTGTCCAATATGGTGGCAATTGACCACATGATTATTCAAAGATAATTAAAATTAAACAAAATCAAATTTACTCTTTCAGTTATATTAGCCACATTTCAATTCTCAATAGTCACACATGGCAAGTGGCTACCATATAGAACAGAGACGATACATAGAATGACACAGAAGGTTCTATTAGACCATGCTGTAAGTAGGTGGAACTTGATGATAGGAATGGGGGATCCAAAGGGGCTTACTCTCAGTAAATCTTTTTCTGTTCCCTTGAAAGACAGACCTTGCACAAAGTTAAAAAAAAAAAAAAAAGTGTATGCTACATGTATAATTAATACAAGGGAAGAGAATAAAGGTACAGTTGGATATCAGATAATCAGAATGTCTATTTTTGTGACAGTGGAAGAAGGATGGTCCCAAGGCTAGGGGTGTGTGTGTGGTGGGGGGAGCAGTTAGGGCAACAGACATTTAAAAAAGGAGCAAATGCAGAATGATATTATAGAAGTCTGTATGGATATTGAAATTGCTAATAGTAAAACTGTATGGAGACTCAAGGAAGTAAAGTTGAAAAGAGTGGAGAGAATGGGAAAAGTTGATGGACTACCTTGATGAGAGCTGATTAGTTTGGACTTTGTACAAAAGGCAAAAAGAACTCACTCTTGGTCCATGAGTCAAAACGAAGGAGGTGAGAACGATTGAATCTCACAGTTGCCAAAGGCATAGTCTTTCTAACCTTTCTTTCCTTCACATAATCTAGAATGGTATTTGAAATATAAGAAGAACTTTATGCTTGCCTGGTGGATTAAATTTTGTCAGTTTTCTATTAGGTGAAAGAGTTAGAGAGCAGCGGACCCGACTGTGCAACGAGATGATCCTGGTTTTACACCTTTGTTGATCCTTGTTGTTGTTGTTGTTATGTGCCATCGAGTCGGCCCCGACTCATAGCGACCCCTCCTTGGGTTTCCGAGGCAGTATCACTACAGAAGTAGATTGCCCCATCTTCCTTCCGAGGAGTGGCTGGTGGGGTTGATCCTTAGGCAGAAAGTTATTTGCCCTCTCAGCCACAGTATCTATACAAATGATTTAGCAATTGTTCCTCTGTGGGATGTTAAAAGAAGTTTAAAGCTAATGCAGGCACAGTGCCTATCACAAGGCTTGCCATATAAAGTAAATAATATTTTACTGAACTTATTAACCTAAATATATTGTTTAAGGTGTTGAATCTGGAGAATAATAAAGAGCTAGAAACGTTTCACAGTTGGATAGCTGAAATAGAAATGGTTTTCAAAACCAAAGTGGGTTGATATAAGTTCTATGTTTACAGGCACATTTAATTGTGTGGATCTTAAAAAGGAAGAAAGTGACCTTATTAATAGCCTGTAGGATAGGCTGAACTGGGACCGAGCCTCCAATATCCCCAACGAGACATTGGAATTGACCACCATGAAATGAACAGCAGTTGAAGTAAAACAAGCTTTTGTTCCCCAAGAAACATTAAATTTATTAAATAAAATCATTACTGGGGAAAGAAATATCAATTATTTATGAACAAAATTATGTTAGTTTGGTTATATATATGGATCTACAGATTTATTTATGATTTATATGTATGTATGCAATCAATATTCACTATGATAATACAGAATGCAAAGCTATAATTGCCAAAAAAAGATTATGATATCAGAGGTGAATTTTAATTATAAATTGGTTTATAAGTATTTAAATATATTATCTTCTTTGCTGTCAAAATTGATTATAAATATGTTTCCTGTTTGTATTCTCATTATTTTTTTCCTCCCATAAATAGTAGTTCCTCTGAGAATCTCTTAATTATTGCTGCACTATGGCCTTATGTTTTTTATAGAATAGTTTTGGAAGAGAGAAGCACTACACTTTCATACTTTATTGATAAAACACATCTCTTTTATATTAGTGAAAGTAGAATTTTGGATGGATTTTTAGCTCCTTTGCTGCTGGTTCATTTTAGACAGGTATCAAATGAGACTGTTCAACTCAGGAAAGGGGTGTCTCTCTACCTTTGTGCACTTTATCAATAATACATGAGGACAAGCCAGAGAGAATGAGGGTGGATCACATCAACTTCCCCAACTACAACTGTGGTAAGTACATGGCCTGGATTCTTCTGATTCTCAAAGGGCAGAAATAAGGGTTAAAGTAATGAGTCATGAGCAGTGCAGGTATTCTGCTTCATCTAAACTATGGAGTGCATTTTGCCCAGATAAATGTTCAGGTAGATTTACTCTAAAATGGGAAGTCCTGAAATTACATCATAGGGAGGCGTTGACTAACATCAACAGCATGTACAATAATGAGATAGAGGAAGGGGAGGGAACTAGACTCTTTAGTTAGATGGTCTCATTTAATTACCATAACCATTCTATTTACCATTTACTAGATAAATAATTTTACTCTTATTTTGCAGATAAGGAAGCTGAATCTTGAAGTGGTGACTTACCTTGCCTAAGGTTCACAACTATCAAGAGGCAGAGCAGGAATTTACATCAGGTTCTCTCTGATTCCAAAGTCTCTGTTTCTTTCAAAATTTTAAAAGGATACCTACTAGCTAATGTAACTGAATATTGGAATGGGTACAAACTAACAAATTTAATTTATGATGTAATCTTGGTATCTGGACTACTGTGAGTGTATGAGTGTGAAAGTGAATAAAAGGGAAAGACAGATCTCTGATATTAGAAATCAAAATGATCTATTAATACTCGGGACATTTGAAAAGCATAATTAATAACTCATTTGACATGAAATTATTGGCTTGAACACTTTTCACCCCTCTATCCCCGTGAATAGGCTGAGGTAAACTTTTATAATTTATCCTGTGTGGAAACCTTGTACATTATAATGATGTTAACATGTACAACAGAAGCTCTGGTAGTGTAGTGCCTAAGGCACTTGACTGCTAACCAAAGGCTGGCGGTTCAAACCCACCAGCCACACCTTGGAAGGAAGGTTGGGCAATCTACCTCCATAGCGATACTGCCTCGGAAACCCAATGGGTGGTCGCTGTGAGTCGGGTCCAACTCGATGGCACATAACAACAACAACAATATGTACAACATAATAAATTAATAATTGACTGTAACAATGAGCTCAAACATAGCCAAGATTTTGGAGATGGTGCAGGACTGAACAGTGTTTTGTTGTGTTGTACATATGGTCACTGTGAGTCAGAACTGACTCAATGGCACCTAACAACACCACTAATATTAGAGTAATGAGCATTAATATTTATTTTATTTCAAGCACTAGGCTAGGTGCTTTACATACATGGTTTCATTTACTCCTCACTGTCATCCCTTGGAAGGAAGGTTGGACAATCTACTTCTGTGGTGATACTGCCTCAGCAACCCAAGGAGGGGTCGCTATGAGTCGGATCCTACTCGACAGCACATAACAAGAACAACAGTCATCCTATGAGGTGGGCAGTATTATTAACCACATTTAGTAACAAGGGAACTGTGAGGTAGAGAGAGAGCTAGGAAACAGTAAAGCAGGATCTCAAGTTAATGTCTGGTGGGCTCCAAAACCCATTTTCTTTCTAATCTTCCAAACAATGCTGTATGACAGAAGCCATTTACAAGAGCAGAATTTCCACAAAGTTTACAGAGTGGAAACATTAGAGTGAGTCTTCTGTAGCCTGACCTGAAGAAAACTGAGTCATTCAGAATGTAACAGATCATTTCTGAGTCTAGTCAGTGGGCTACAAGCTCCAAAGTATCTAGGCTTAAGTCATCCCTCTGCCCTCTGCTGTTAGTATTAGAGAGAGAACATGGTGTGAAGAGCTCTCAAATGCAAGTGTTTCCTTGCCAAAGACTTTGTTTGATTTCACATTCAAAGAGACATTCAGAGTGGCTTGGCAGCACTTTATGATGCATTTTCTCTTCAGCAAAAGGATTGAACTAGCATATAGAACTGTCGCCATGCACAGGGTTGTAAGGTAGTCAAATGGCAAAAGGAGACACAGACACACATGTACTAGCATCAGCTGTTTTCCGCACCACCTACTTCCAGGTTTGAAGGTGCCACTTATGACATTAACACATAGAAGGGCAATGGCTTCATCATAATCCTTTCAGACAAAAGTACTCAGAACAACTTTCAGGTGATGGACTATATTAGTCACCTTGACAGTGCTGGGCAGCTGTGGAGTGCTCTATAACTGTCACACTGATACGACTATCCTGAAATAGCAGGACCTCCTCAAAAACACTAAGGTCAAAGAGTGTTCTC